ATTAACACTGATATGGTTATGAATAAGGCACTGTTGGATCTATTAATGCCCCAGAAAATTATGGAAGACGAATATATCGGTTATTTATTGTGTGCTAAACATTTCAGACAATACAGTAAGTATAGACTTAGAATAGAAAAATTTAGCAGAAATACTTTAAAGCGATGGTTTTATATCTTGGTACCTCATTTTTGAGGCGTTCCTCTATACATTACCTGTGAAGGCGCTGTATACTAGTAAACTTGGCAATAACCCGTTAATATTAATGCCAAGGTATGGCTGTTTCTCTGAAACTTTGTTTTTGTGGCATGTTTAAGTTAAATATTTGATCTATATCTTTATATAATTATTTTTGTAATTATTCCATTATAACGGTAGAGATTTATTTTCAATCCAGAGCTTCTGTATAAGTCACTCTGATAAGATCTAATAAGGTCGAAATATGTATAAGAGGATGACAGGAGCCCTGTATCTAATTAAATCTCAAACGTCTTTTTGCTTTATATGCTTAAGTTCGTGAGTACATGAAACTAATTCGCGAAGGATTTTTGCCGTGGTGGATCGACAGGTCGTGGAATGCAAATTGTAGCTTCTTGCAAGGTATGTTCGTGTGAGCTAATTTATCAGCCGTCTGCTTTGTATTTAGTAGAGAGCACCGTAGGCGACTATTTAAAGTTTATTTTTGTCAAATAAGAAATCTGGCGATTTCTATTGTGAAAAATATATTAAAAGACGGGGTTATTTTTATAATCTATAGTTGTTTGGAGCTTTTCTTTACCAAATTTGATGAATGCCTTACTTGGCCTCTGTCTTGTGGGGTCCATTGAAAGTGAAAAAAGTGACAATTCTTTCAGTTGAAGAATCTAAGGGTAATGTTTGTACCCTTAGGATAATATCAAATTCATTTTTTTTTTTTTTGATAAGGTATGTTCCCCAATAATTTTGTATTTCAGAATAACCTTTGTTTTTTATTTACAACCAAAATATTTTATATAATCAGTTCTCTAATAATCAAGTGATAATTGCTATACTTTTTGTTCATATGTACATATCTGAAGTAATGTCTTTAGATTTTTGATTAGTTTCACTAATTAATTTGGGTATCATTTAATTTAAAACGAAATTCATACTTCTATTTCACGCAGACATTTCATACTACTCTAAAAATATTTGTTTACAACCTGATTTGTTTAATTAGTATTTAACTTGGAATAAGCCACAATTATAGATAAAAATATGTTTATTAACGTTTCCATTTCCACTTCGGAAATCGTTCTCAAAATATAAACAGTAAATTAAACAAATTTTGTTTTTTGTTACATAGTGAAAAATTCTTCTAATAATTTAATTTTATTTGACTCATTTATATTGACAATTCAGACATACATTATGCATTTTAAAGTAGACGACTTTAAAATGATATTGGCAATATTGTTGAGTTGCAACTGCCTTATACTAGATTTATATGCCCCAAAAACTCCCCGTTGTGCCCTTCAAAACACCTGAGCTTAGATTTAAAAGGTGATAATACTTGATTCTGGAATTCTTCTTTTTTAGACACACCCAGGTCTAAAGTTTGTTACAGCAATATATGCGTAATCTCTGGAATAAAGAATTAGAAGGGATGTGTGATATGTGATTATGAAAGTAAAAATTTTTCTCAAATTTTTGAAGCATTTTAGCGATATGTATAGTATTTTACCAGTCATTATTGTAACAAATTAAAATTATAATCCAGAAATGAGAGAAAGAGAAAAAGAGAGAAAGAGAGTGCGAGAGAGAAAAAAATTTATTGTTTTTAAAATAAGTTTACATTTATAAAACACAACATGGTATAGTACAAACAAGGCACAAGATACTTATTAATTATAAAATTTTCATAATTAAAAAAAAATATGTATATATAATTATATATATATATATATATATATATATATATATATATATATATATATATATATATATATATATATATAACAGAGGCCTGCATAATCTACCAAACGGGACCTTGCATAAATATATGAGTGCTCTCTTTTGTAGCATAAAATTTCCACTGAAATCATGAAGAGAACGGCTACCCCAAAAGGCAATAGCGTATCTCAAATTAGATTCAATCAGAGCCCCATAAAAACTTTTTGAAATCTTGAAATCTAAATGGTAAGCAAATGATTTGACCGCAAAGCAACCCGATGATAACTTTTGCTCAAACATACAGTGTGTTCCTCTCTCAAATTTAAGGTAATTATCAATATAGAGACCTAAAAATTTTTTACGGTGTCAGAACAAATGCCTTCATTGTCCAGAGTAATGTTGTTTAGATCATTCTTAAAAGAAATTAATTTGGTTTTTTAAAAATTAAATATCAAATGATTAGCTGCACTGCTCTAAGATTTTCAGCATATCACTACTAATAATCTTGTTCAGTACCTTAGAGTTCTTCTTTTGCCATAAAATTTTGGTGTCATCTGCAAATATAGTAAACCGGTCATTAATATTAAGGTTAGTTAATCATTAGATCATTAAAATATATTAAGAAAAAGAAGTATCCAAGACAGAGAATTGGGGTACTCCACAAATAATAAAGATATTACTAGAGTAGCGCTCATTAATTATTAATACAGACTAACATCTGTCTTCCAAGTATAAACTGAACCACTTTAGAGCAGTTCCTCTAAAACCATATCTTTCCAGTATATTAAGAAGTATTTTGTGATTGACACAAAGGCTTTAGATAGATCACAGAAAACTGCGACAGCAACATAATCGTTATTTAAGTCCAAATATAGTTTTTCCATGAATTTGAAAATGGCATAATATGTACTTTTTAATAACTGGAAACTCAATTGAAAGGAAGAAAGTAAATTGTGTTTTTGTAAGAAAGTCATCATTCGGATTTTTACCAATTTTTTTACAACCTTTGAAAGCGGCGGTAATAAAGAGATAGGACGATAATTAGCAGGTAAATCGTGGTCACCACTTTTATACACAGGAATAACCTTAGCACATTTTAAACAATTGCTAAAGTGACCCGTTAAAAAAGATGTGTTAATTGCCTCCGCCAAAATTCTCCGAACTTCTTAGGAAGAGGGGATAAAACTTTAGATGGGATATCATCCCAGCCTGCACCCATAGGATTTTTAATGCCTTGTTTAATATTTTTAATTTTAGCCGCGTCAGTGAAAAGAAAAAAGGAATTTGTAATGTTTACTCCATTTAAAAAAGGCATTGAATCAGAAGAAGAATTAATTTTTCTAGCGAGTTCTGGACCTATCGAGCAGTAATATTTATTCAGCTCACTAGGGTCTAAGACTATATCAGTAGTTCTGGGAACTTTAGCTCTAAGATTATTAACTATACGCCAAGATTCCTTTTATTTATTATTGGCATTTTTCATTCTAGATTTAAAAGATATACATTTGGCTAATCTAGTAACCTTCCTATATAAGGCCTACATTTATAGAAATCTATAAAAAATCATTATTGCATATTAGGTACAGTCTGTCCCAAACCCTTTTTTCAGTGCGTCACTAATTTTGACGTCATATAGGATTTAAAGAATGTCGAGAATTATTGCATGACATTTTAGTTAAATCTGACAGTTGTAGGATCGTAATCGGCTAAATGTGAAAAGGTTATTTTTTTTTAAATGCATAGCAGTTTGTCATAATTCTGTTCTATTCTGTTCTATTTTATACATTCCAAGGAAAGTGCTTAATTAGCTTAGATTCGTTTATGGATTTATTATTATTTATTACAAACACACGGGCATATTGCAATGACAATTGCAATTGCAAGGCATCAAAGTAAACATTCCTGTGATAAAATAACATCGATTTAAATCAGTCATATTTGGATAAGTAATTTTCTGATAAGTTTCTGTGGCAGCCAATAGTTTAATTTTGTGAAGATTTGTCATGAAATAGTGGAAATAGTTTAAATAGTAAAGCAGTTGATTTTTGAGTTATTCTACCAGATTTGGTGTGCAAATGAAAGAAGGTTATAAAGTTTAGTTAAAAAAACAATATAAATAGTTTAAATAGTGAAGCAGTTGATTTTTGAGTTAATCTACCAGTTCCGGTACCCAGATGAAATCGTGTTAATGGAGTTTATTTAAAAAAGAAGATACCGAATGTAAGTTTACCTTCTTTTTTATGAATAACAAAAATGAATAATATATTTCAAACAATCCATAATTCCATTCAGAATCTGATTCTTTAAAATCAATGATTACACTAGATATGTGGCTGGTATCAATTATATCTTACATTTCAAGAAAATGTCGTGGTTCTAAAAAGAACCGTTTTAATACATATAAATATCCATAACGGTATTAGTTTAAGATATTTTCTCAATATCATTCCGGAATTCACAATCTGATTCGCGAACGACAGAAACTGATAATAAAGATAACTCAGCCTCTTTTTCTAATTGAAACTAATTTAATAATTTTAATATTAGACTTTGTTCATTCTCGGTATATTTCGGAATATTTAAAATATTTTTATGATAATAAATACAAAATTTCATTTTCACTGTAGGTAAAATGTCTGAAAATACTAACCTGGAACGGCAATTATCATTTTATCAGTTGACATTGTGAAAGTACTGTCACTGTCATTATCAAGATCATCTGTGTCAAATTATATTTATATGCATAATTGATTGGATATCTATTTAGCGTATTCTAAACTCCAACCAATTATACGTTCGTAAGTAGAATTCGCTTTAATATTCGAATACCCATGACCGATACCTAATTTTCTAAGTTCTATGTATTATAATCAGAGACTCATGTTTTTTTCTGTCACTTCTAGCTTAATGCGTTAGAGAGAATTCGAACAACTATGACGCACTGAAAAAAGGGTTTGGGACGGACTGTATATGTTTTTTAATATAATTTAACGATCTTAAGTTTTTGCAGAAAATTCTAATTTCTTTAGTAACCCAAGTTTTCTTACTTTTCGATTTAAGATTTTTTTTGAAATGTTAAATTGAAAATCTTCATGAGAGTGTGATGAAATTGATGGAGCAAATCAGGGGAGTAAAAAATATTATTCCAATCTCCCTGATTACATAATTTGATAAACCTGTCAAAATTACTTTTGATGACAATCCTATCCCATCTGGCTGTATAAGGTGGATTCTTAAGGGAAAATTCACATAAAATGGGATCATGATCTGATGAAAAATAAGGAATCATTCTGCACACAGCTAGATCTGGATGTAGATTAGTACAACTATAATCCAATATGCTGTTATCTCTGGTTGGATCGGTAACCGGCATTCTCATATTAAAACTATTAAGTAAATTTGTAATGGTATTAACATGATTGTGTGATAAATTTAGATAATTAATATTAAAGTCACCTGTCAAGATAATAAAAGAATTTCGTGGAATTTTTCAAGTAAGAATTCCAATCTTTGAAGGAACAACTGAATAATAGAAATGTTCTTAAATTCAGAAGGACGTTGCTTCCTCTGTTTTGATTAAAGTTATTTTTTATTCTTTTGAAGCAATTACCTTCCTAGTTATTTATAATGGTTATCACTATATAGTGCGCCTTTTTTATTATATCAAACACGTCTTGATTATCAATGAAACGTAAAAACGTTAAAAACAATAATTCGTACCTTTATCAAAGACGAAATAAGTATGATAACAAGCTTTTATCACAACGTTATTTACTAATATTTTTACTAACGATCATGATTAATTTTCAGAAAACATGGCTTTTCGTGATAAGATCTTCGGATTGTACCAATGCAATTACAACAGAAATCCTGACGTAAGTTTTGCATGAAATATTTATAAATAAAATAATAACAACTGAACAAGCTTTCCAATTTGGCTTCTTCACTCATTATAATAATAGCGTTTATTGTCCAACAGAATCCATTTATAGGACAAAATACAATACTAAAGTTAAATGAAATATTAATAATTCATAGGTACTAACTAAATAGAGAGTTTTTAAGCCCCTTATTTCAGTAACGTTGAACGTTATACGTTATTCTGCTCATGCGCATTAACAGAAAAATAACGGATTACTTTATTAGAGGATAAGGTATTCCCTTATTTAGGTAAAGATAAGGTTAACGTTATTAAGGGATTACGTGTTTGTAATGTTGTCAGATGCCAGATATATAAATCATAAAAAACAAAAAAAGAGTCATATAAGCAGCTCTCTTTCCTTGTCTAAGAGCAGAACCAAAGATAACTATGATAGAATAAAAAAAATAGAAAATTTAGTTCAGCATCTTTCTCTTCAATTGTTTCTAACACAAAATGTAGTCTTGATGCAACAGGTATTACAGGATCAAAAATATTGTGAAAAATTAAGCCTCTTATCAAATTGTAATCTATTACTTCTCTGTGTCTTTGTCATCTATTTGCAAATTATTCAAATAAAATAGGTTATAGAGTATTCACGATTGAAAACAAAGTATCTGGGTTTTCTTCAATATTGGTGCAATGAACATAACCTGGCATCGAACTGTATGTTTGTGCGACACAGTGTTGCCACTTTTTTTTATAAAGTATGAGAGTGTTTAAAATAGAAAGATACTTTGACGAAATTATATATAATGTTTTAAAAAGCTTATACAGAAGTAAAATGCTTCACATTTGTATTTAAGGAATATACTTAATATAGGTAATTTAATTGTATACTTAATTAGGTAAATGTGAAGTGTTTTACTTCTGTAAAATGTAAAAATGTACAAGCCACACTTTTTAAATTCATATTAAAAAGCATTCATAAAATAGTATTTTTTACTTTAAATATAGCTAAATATTTAGTGTATTCTTTTGTTTAACCTAATTTTCTTTTCATTTAACTTTACTTTATTTTGTAGTTTATAAAGTTTCTAAACTATTAATTTTTATCTTAAGCATAATTTTAATGGTTTTTATTATATTTTAAATGTAGAAATGCAAGATATAATTTTATTTTATAATATTTATAGGTATAACTTTAATGCTTTTAATTATATATATATTTTTCACATTTTTGTTTAATTATATATATATGTATTTTTCAATTTTACATTTTCATTTCATATAAATCTTGCCAATAATTTTATATGTGAGAGTGGGAAATATTTGAGTATATGGCAACACTGACGTATATTAAGCTTACATTTAACGTCAAGCATATCAACAAGGTTATGTTCATTGCACCAATATTGAAGAAAACCAGTATCTGACCCTTGGCGGAATAAATTTAAACTACTATAAATGGTATAAAAAAACCAGACAGCTGTTGATTTGAATAGAATTATTAAATTTTTTTAGTAAATTTCAACATTATGACTAAATGACAAAAATCAATAACCCTGCTATGACACAAATTGGAATGGACAGAATCCAAAGAAGAAATATACAGATATTTACATCACAATATTTTAAACTGTATTTAACATTGTTGTAGGGAGAAATGTTGGAAAATTGTAGTAAAAATCATCCAAGTACATCAGCAATGTATTCCAGTATATATTTTTGTCCAGATTTATCTGAAATTAAACCATTTGGTTGTCTGATGAATGATTATATTGGTCACTATATTTTGTAAATAAAAGATTTATTTTGTTTCAATAATCTATTATTAATAAAAAAACTACCTTGTGAATGCCTTCGTTTTTATTTAGGTAAAACATAAAGATCATTAAATGTTAAAATAAGTGAACAACAAATGTATAATATTAAAAAGTCAGTTCCAAACACTGAAGTTAAAATTTAAGAATTCATCACTTGAAAACTGCTTCCCCTTCAACCAATGGCCTCTGCTTCACCACCACAAGGCTAATTTCCTTTTTTAAATGATAAAAATAACTCGTCTTAAACCAAACTAAACTTTGAAAAGCAATGGTAAACATTCGACTGTCATGTTTGTTTATACCATTTATATCGACCTATAACTATAACTGCCGTTTTATAGGTTACGTTCGTCAAATGTCAATTAACGATAATCTGTCATAGCTTAATTTCCGAAAGGATTCAAAAACTATTTTAAGTAAAAACGTTATCCCTTATTTATTATTCAAGGCGCATGACAAGTATAACGTTTTACGTTTAACGTCCATCGAAAAATAAAGGGCCTAAAAACTCTCTAATAACACATTTTTCGAGTATTTTACCTTAACATAAAGAAACTACTTAATCACCTAGGTAGATCTCAGCCATCCTAGTAAGCTGTTTTAAACTGCAGTGAAATATACCGCAGTAAGCACTTAAGCTTACTAGTTCTAAGATTAGTTCAAGCTTGTGTATTTCTGAACGTAATCAAATTTCTCACTGGATAAGATGGAACGTTCAAATTTATTTGTCAAAGAATATCGGGGCAGTCAATGAGATTATGTAGTAGCTTGTACAGGAATATTAGAGAGGCATTAATTCGTCTAGATTCTAATGATACTACGTCCAAACCGCTACACAACTCGCTCTTGCTGATGCCCCTCCTGGGATATATGCCGTTAATTTTGAAAGACAAAAATTTTAAAAATTTACGCTGCACGTGCTCTATAATTTGGATGTGTACATCATAAATAGGGATGGTATATAAGACTGTTTCCTAGTATAACTATAACTGTATAATAACTAACTACTTTGCACTTATTGGCATTAAGATTCAAATGATTTGCATTCCACCATTCATGTACACGATTCAGTTCACTCTGCAGAAAATGAAAATCATTATGGTAGCTTATCAATGAATAAATCTTTAAATCATCGGCATAACATAAACATGGTGCAGAAATTGATTCACACAGATCGTTAATAAATAACGGGAACAATAATGGACCTAGATTAGAATTTGAATTAGAAGTTGTGGAACCCCTGAAGAAGTTAGGTACTTTTCCGATTTGTAACCATTATAAGCAACAAACTGCGTTCTATTTGACAAGTAAGACCTCATAAAAGTCACGGCATCCTCAGAAAGACCAAAGAGACACAATTTAGAAAGTAATACGCCGTGGTGAATTCTGTCGAATGCCTTCGTAAAGTCAATATATATGACATCAACTTGACTTCTATTATCTAGGGCTGCTGAGATATATTGTGTGACCAATAATAAGTTTGTCACAGTGGACCGATTGGAGACAAAACCATGTTGATATTGAGACAGCTGATTACGAATGCGTGAATAAATACGATTATACAAAACTATTTCAAAGACTTTCGATAAATTGCAAATAATGGAAATTGGTCTGTAGTTTTCTACCTGACCCTTTTCACCAGTTTTGAATATTGGACACACATTTGACTCCTTTCAGAGACTCGAATATTCCTTGTTAAGAAGACATAAATTAAAAATTTTTAATAGTGGCACAGTTAAGGCACCTATACAATTCTTAACCAAAAAGGATGGAATATTATCAGGTCCACACGTCATTTTGTCTTTCAATTTCTTACTAGCAAAAATTATCTCAGACTCTAAAATAGGATAAAAATTTAAGTAATCTGCGTTAACTGAGGAAGAGTTAGCCTTGAAATTAATATCCGATGACAGAAAAACACTCTTGAAAAATTCTGCAAACACATTCACAATATTTTGTGGGTCGGAGGTAGTAATGTCATTATATTTCATAACACCAGGAATTCTTGAACTATTACTTTTTGAATTTACATAAGACCAAAACTTCTTGGGGTTGTTGGATAAAACAATTTGGATATTCTCGACATATAGATTGTATGCCAAATTGATTTTTGATTTGACAAGGTGTCTTAACCGTTGAAACTCAAGCAAATCACAATGATTTTTGAATCGTTTAAATTTTTTTCTAAACTTTATGGCTAAAGGTATTTATGGCTAAAGTTTTTATAAACTGGAATATACTTATTAAACACAGAAAAAATCTTATCATAAAAGTTATTTAAAGTTTCATTAACGTCATTAGAAGTATCCAGAGAATTACAATCCGTTTCATACAGTTCTCGATATAAAGCAGGAAAATTTGCTTTTTTAAAGTTTTAAGTTAATTGCTTTAAACCACACTTAAATTTAGGCTCTTTTACAAATATATCCGAAAATGTTATTAGAAGAGCTGGGTGATGAGGGTCTTCATAGACCAAAGGTGAGTCATCATGCTTCACTTCACAACTGAAATGCGATAAGACCAAATCTAGCAGTCTACCCAAATGATTAACAACATTGTTAAATTGTCTAAGGTCAGTAGAGCCCGCAAAACTTAAAACTACAGAAGTTTTGAAATCAGACATATCATTATCTATAAACCTTGAAACATTAAAATCGCCTAGTACTATACAGTCATTATTTAAGTAATCAAATTGTCCTAAGCAATCGAGAAAATATTCCTTATTATATTATTATACCCATAACAGGAGTTAAATTCATCTTATAATCTTATAATCCAAATTTTACATGCTTTAAGATTCTTCGTAAAAATATTATCATAGTCTATTTAGTAATTCGGGCGAAAAAAACCCTGTTTGTTTAATTAATCTTTTCGCTCACAATTATTTTATTTTTTATTTTATATTACAAAAAATATATTATGTTGGTATCATTTTTGTTTATTTTTTAAAACATTTTTAAATGTATTTTTAAATTTTTTTGTTTACCGTTAAACTTGCTAGCGGTTATCCCCATACGAGGACATTGTGAGTAAGAGGAAATAAAATATTAGAAACTCAAACTTGTAGTAAATTTATTGCAGTGAATTACAAATAGTATTATGTTGTGTGATAATCAAAAAACAAATTCTGTTTGTCCAGGCACAAATGAATGTTACATTTACAGCAAGTACATTTTGACTTTCCTTTACA